GAGCTAGCTGTAAAGTCCAGTCGTGGGACTATACCATGCAACTGTCAACACCAAAACAGCTTGTAAGGGCTACCATCTGAAATTAACAGCTTTTTAAAAAAAGCTCCAGTGGACATGTAGACTTAGCACAGCTTTCAAAACAGTCAGACCTGTTTATGAAAGCAATAGTTTAATGATTATTTTCACTATTAGAGATAAACTGATTACTTGCTAGATTGAAACTAGGCTAGCACAGCAATGTTATTATCAATTATCAAAGAGAAAAGTTCATTGGTGTCATTGGTAAAATTGACTATTGACTAAAATTGGAACTATTGACTTAACTTTATTTTTATAAATATGCACAAAATTTGTTTAAAAAATAATTATAAGGTAATTTTTGTTCAAAAATAAAGTAACCTAATCGCGAAGTGTAGTATAATGCGGGTGAAAATGCATTTCAATATGATGGGGTAATGTAATGTCAAATAAAAGCCTGAACTGAAAGATTGAAATGACGTTATAGATGCACTCGGAAAATGTGTTATTTTTGAAACCCTACTTTGTGTCAAGTATAGACAAACACAACAATTGGATTAAAGATTTAATTCAAAATATGTATTGGATATGTACATTGGATTCAAATGTAATCCAAGGGTTGGGGTTGCCTATATTACAACCCAACAGACAGACGGATACAAATTCTAGATGAAATTATAGTCCACACAATATACATGCACAAAAAACAAATAAATAAATAAAACTTTTTAATTTTGTTTTAAACATTTTTGGTCTGTTTACTATATATGCAAATGATTACTTAATATTAAAAGAAAACAAAAAAAGAAAGAAAGCACATGTATTGTGGCCATTTCATAAATCATATATCAAATATATAATCAAAATTGATATTTAAATAGTATTTTTGACCACTGCACTATAAATCGCCACTGGTTTTCATTTCAGAATCTGGTCAAATTATAAAATATACTCATATGAAAAGTAAAATTTTGCTTGTGTAACCACTGACCTTTATTCGTGAAACTGGAGTAGAATAAATCTGCATGTAATTTGTTTGTTTAATCTTTCTTATATGAATTGAACATGACAATTTACGTAAGAATGTTTAAGCGAACAATTACAAATCAGTTCCGCTCACGTTGCATGAATGAGGCTCTCGATGTGTCCTCCAGAAAGTGAAAGAGCTGACTTTGGCAAATCTAAAGAAGCAGTAAACAAAACAATAAACATAACCGAGCCAAATGAGTCTGCTGTCACACGAGGCAAGGTCAGAGAGTCACAGGGGTCAAATGAAGCAATTATATTTAACAACCGAGCTATTTTCAGCGACTAATACCCATTGTGTTTTTCTCCGACATATGGGCAGTGAATTTTATACCAAAGCGTAACAGTGACCTGAAAAAACATCCAGGTGCTGTTTGGGCTCTGATCTGTCCTTTGTCTATCTGTGTTTTTGGAGGTTATCATTAGTTCATCAAGAGAAACTGGAAGTGAAAGACAATACGTTCTTCTCGGTAAAGTTGGACTGTTGTGACTTTGACCATTCTAATTAAAAAGCATGTGTTAAACTGCAGTCATTTCAGGTGAAACAGATGTCAGTCAGCTGTTGGAGTAATCTGACCGTCTGGAGGGCAGGTTTAGGCATGAAAAGGCTTCTGTCAGGTAAATGTCCGGCTTAAAAAAAAAAAAAAAAAAAAACACTTTGCATTTCAAAACAAAAGGGACGCCACAAAGTGATAGCAGAAATGACAAAACATGACACCTTGGGAATATCTGGAAAGCAGGATCGACAGTGTTACTTTTAAGAAAATTATGATCTATGAATGAAGGCCTTATAAAGCATGCCTTAATTAAGAGATGTCCAAACTAGGCCAAAATTGGCCCATGGTAACCTTTTACAGTTGAAGTCTGAATTATTAGCCCCCATTTGCATTTTATTTTCTTTTTTAAATATTTTCCAAATGATGTTTAACAGATTCAGGAAATTTTCACAGTATGTCTGATAATATTTTTTCTTCTAGAGAAAGTCTTACTTGTTTTATTTTGGTTAACATAAAAGCAGTTTTTAATAAATAAAAAAAAACATTTTAAGGTCAAAGTTATTAGCCCCTTTAAGATACATTTTTCCAATAGTCTACAGAACAAACCATCGTTATACAATAACTTGTCTAATTACCCTAACCTGCCTAGTAAGCCTAATTAGCCTAGTTAAGCCTTTAACTGTCACTTCAAGCTGTATAGAAGTGTCTTGATAAATATCTAGTAAAATGTTATTTACTGTCATCATGGCAAAGATAAAATAAATCAGTTATTAGATATGAGTTAATAAAACTATTATGTTTAGAAATGTGTTGAAAAAAATCTCTCTGTTAAACATGAATTAAAATAAACAGGGGGGCTAATAATTCAGGGGTTTAATAATTCTGACTTCAACTGTATTTGGCCTGCCACCTGAAAAGAAAGAGAGAGAATGATGGGGAATGCTGGGGTAAATGCCTTCAACAGAGATCGTCAATTCTAATTTAACATGAATTTAATTGCTGAGCAACAAAAAAAATGAAATTAAATGTTTCAGTTAAATGTTGTGAATGGATCAGTTTTTAAATGTTAAAATATAAATACTGTTACTTGATGGATGCACGGACATTGCACAAGACATTGGCATTGAACAACAATGTATTTTAAATGGGATTAGGTTTTCATTGTAAAATGTAAAAAAAATTAAAAATAAAATACACACACACACACACACACACACAGTGGAAGTCAGAATGATTAGCCCCCCTTTAAATTTTTCTTTTTTTAAATATTTACCAAATAATTTAACAGAGCAAGGAAATTTTTACAGTATGTCTGATAATATTTTTTCTTCTGGAGAAAGTCTTATTTGTTTCAGTCTAGCTAGAATGAAAACAGTTTTTTTTTATTTTTAAACACTGTTTTAGGGACAAATATATTAGCCCCTTTAAGCTATTTTTTTTTCAGATATTCTACAGAACAAACCATCGTTATACAATAACTTGCCTCATTACCCTAACCTGCCTAGTTAACCTATTTAACCTAGTTATGCCTTTAAATGTCACTTTAAGCTGAATAAAAGTGTCTTAAAGAATATCTAGTCTAATATTATTTACTGTCATCATGGCAAAGATAAAATAAATTAGTTATTAGAAATGAGTTATTAAAACTATTATGTTCAGAAATATGTGGAAGAAATATGCTCTCCGTTAAATAGAAATTCCGGAAAAAATTAAACAGGAGGGCTAATAATTCTGACTTCAACTGTGTGTGTGTATATATATATATATATATAAATATATATATACATACAATTACATATTTAATTATAATAAAACTTTATATAAATAAAATAATATAACTATAAATAATTATTAATTATAACATTTAAAAACTATTAATAAATTAGGAATTTACCTTGCAACTTTAATGTAATACAGTTTTGGTTTATTTACCTTTGGCCCAACACTCTCAATCAAGTTTGGTTTTTGGCCCTTCATAAGAAAAAGTTTGGGCACTACTGCTTTAATAAGTGGAGTTTCAAAAGGTGAAGAGTAAATAGAGAGATAGAGAGAAAAAAGAAATCGATTGTAACTTTCATAAAACTATTTATTTGGTTTCAGTAATCAAAAAAATCACAAAAATTAATAAAACCGGTACTTTATACAAATTTAAAACATTATTGAAATACTAAAAGAACAAATATTTCAATCACACAATCTTACCCTAATAAGAGTAAAATATGAACTTATTTACAGTAATTGAATAATTGTACCTTAGTAAAGATCTTTTTTAAAAAGTTACTTTTGCTGCTTTCAAGCTACATATTTAAAATGAATATAAACAACACAATTCTAAAGTTTTTTGGAGGACAACTTAACTGTTTTATGTTCAATCCACTCAAATTTGTAAAAACCATTAAGTTAACTTGACTGATTTGTATTGGGACAGCATAAATGAATTTTGTAGAACCCTGCATTTTTTAGTGTACTTGATGAAAATAGTTAAAAAACACAAAAACTCACTAATAATCCAAACAATTAAAATAATACATAAGTGTCATTGAAAAGGATATCACAATTTTCCCTTCATAAAACAACAACTGGTACAATTATTCATGTCTCTTTAATCACAGGATGAGGAGATTCTCCAATGAGTAAATTGTGCTTTGAATGTAAAACGCTATAAATGTAAGGAATTATTATTAGTAAAAGAAAGAAAAAAAAGGAAAGAAATATTAAAAGAAATAATGATTGGATTGTAAACTACAAAAAAATGTACATTACAAAAACTTCTATTTATGAATGAAGAACAGGTGAAATTTTTTGTTTTCATCATAATCACACCATAGCCTACCTAAAAATAAAGAAAACTTTACAAAAATAATTAAAATTGAAGACTAATGAAATAAGAATGGTCAATTAACACACAAATAAAGGAATAAATAAAAAGAGATAAAAGAAAAGAAAGATGAACAAAACAAAAACGAAATGATCTGTGGTTAAAAGAAAATGACACTATTAAAGCAAATGAGTCCATCAAACAAACAGCTTGTATACTTAAAAAAACAAATCGTTGCATCTACTAAATTTCTTTTAAGGTAAATGGTTGCAAACTATTTATATGGATTGAATTTAAACAAATAAAATTTAATAATGTTACTTGATTTATTTAAATTCAGACAAAATTTGTTTGCAACCATTTAAAAAAAATAGAAATCCAATGAATCATTTTTTTCAGTCACATGCGAATTTGACCTTAGCTGTGCACTGAACTCTGCCACGATTAGTCACACCCATGAACAAATAATTTCTGCTGAACGTATGTCCTTCACCGGTGTGCCTCGCGATTATTCCCGGACCTCTCCCCACCGTGAGCTCGTCTAATCAACGCCGGTAGGTGTCGCTGCGCGCGCAGCCTGCAGGACTCCAGGAGCCGAACGCCAATCAGAGCCATCCAGATTCTCAAGTGTCCGATCCACTCAAACACGAGCAGAGCGGGACACAAGCGGAGCAGGCTAAAGGACAAGGGACAACGCGGAAGAAGCTGGAAACACCGGGGAAAGTTTACGTTTTAAAAAGGGATTTGGACGACTGGGGATTCTGGGACGGGGGAAATCCCGTAAGGGGAAAGTCGAGATCGGCAGGAGCATCAGACATGAATCCGAGGTGAGTTTGTGTTAATGCGTGTGTGCGCGCTGTGAGATTTACCTGCGGCGCGTTCAGGTGTGCACGGCGAGCGCGTGCCAACATACTTACCTGATGGATGATGATGATGATGATGATGAGGGTGATGATGATGACGACGACTAACGCTCGTGCTGCAGGCGTGTCAGGACAGCGGGAGATATAACTTTTTGTGCTTCCATGTGGTTTTTAAATAGCACTTATAATGTATCTTAAAATAAACAAACCATTTTGAAAATGTTGCATAACAGCAAACTTAAATAAAGGCTTGTCAGATTGTCAGCGGCCAGAATGCATTATTTATTTAGGCTGCCTATTTCATTTGGTCTGCGTGATTAATCAAAACTGATTAATAGGCTATATGTTCCTAAATTGACAGTGCAAACTGGGATTTTTTCTTTCGCCTTTTAAATGAGTTTAATTGTTCTTCGGAGATTAAAACAGACTAGTTTTCGATGTAAAATGATGGATTGGTGTAAATCGGTGTTTTGGTTTCTGTGTTTTGAAGTATCAGTGTGACTCTAAAGAACTAGAAAGACAAACAGACGATTATAAAATCGCTAGTATCTATTTATTTGTTAAACGTGTGAAACTGCATGACACAGCGTATTAAAGGGCCATGACTTTTGACAATTACTCAATATGTTCGAGTCTTCATTTTTAGAATAATCAATTAATTAAATAATATTGACACGTAGGCATTATTACTAAAGATAAATCATTATTAAAACTCTCACAAATTTCCAGTGGTAGAATTATGTCGTATGTATATCAGTTGAAGGAAAACGCATCAGTTTGTGTGAAAGATGCATATTTGTGTGAAAGATTGTGAGACTTATTTTTAATGGATAAAAGATAATACTGATGCTACAGATAAACAAATTAAATAATTTGTCCAGACAACTGTTACACTTAAAACTTCTCAAATAGGCTATAGTGTGGATTGCAAGTAGGCCTATTTGATAGAAAAAAAATATAGAAATACAAACATCCTTTGAAAAGAAGTGATTTGATGTATAACATGGCATTTTTTTTTTAAATAATGGCCTAACAGACCATTGTGGATTTGTAAAACTCATGTTAACACCATGATCCTTTTTTGAAGGGTCGTGCAACTAATTATATTAATTTATTAAGATTTTAACTAAAATATGAGTTGATAAAACATTTTTTTGTGCAGCTAATTATATTAAATGATTAATGTTTAAAAATAAACTATGAGTACGCAAATGCTCATCAGTGTTTGTGTGTAAACATTGACAGGTAGCCTACAATCTTGCGCAGAATCATATTTACTTTCCTAAACAATATTATTATGAACTCTACGCAAAAGTTACGTCCACCGTCAATCATGTTAACGTTCACAGCCATAACAACAACATAAAATATGCTGTGATATACAATGAAACGCCTGTCTCTTTAAGACGAAGCCTCGACGTGTTGAAAAGTTCAAGTTGGGGTCACTGTAAGTTCCTGCCCTCGATTTTACCTTTTAGTTTTACTCTAGACTGACATCACGAGAGGCGCTAAAACACACTTGCGACCCAGCAGCCCATTATCATCTCTAGTCGCATTATTACATCCATGCAAAAATAGCCAAGAAAATTGCCAAACACACAAAAAACGAGGAAAAGTGATGCAGGAGTACGCACGTATTTTTATAGGAGGAGTGAGTGAGCGAGAGAGATAGAGAGAGAGAGAGAGGGAGGAGGGAGAGAGAGAGAGCAAGAGGGAGGGCGAGCAACACGAAATTCATTGCAATTAATAATAAAAAAGAGTTGGCAGTCGTGCTCGGAAAACTGGCATGGTTTTTGGGAGGCTGGCAGTTCAAAGTTGAAACGTCAGAAATGACTCCAAAAGACTGTTGAGATGATCATTAAGGGAGACTTAGATCGGATGGCAGAAGAGATCGGGCATCCAGGTAACGTTCAATGCTCTTTATATTTTAACTAGCTACCGCTTCTTTATCAGCACTTTATTGGTGTATTTATACACAGTAAACTGTGTATTCTCTGTTTAATCTTTATTTGCGTTTAGATTTAAGTTCACAAATTGAGACGATTGTTTGTCATACAGTTTTTACTCCACTTTTCTGTCTGATACCAACTGATGGATACTGTTTTCAATGTGAACACTCTTATATTTCAGAGAGATTAAGAGTTAAAACAATATTTAGGGACGTTTTTTATGTATTTAACTTGAGAAGGCGAACAAAGGAACCCGATCAGAAATAGTCAAGTTTATAACCGCATTATGAGTAAAGTGTTGTCAGTACCCAGTGGTGTGATTTCGTATGGCGGTGTGCTAATCACTGTGCCGGGGCTTTCAGCTCATCTTTAATTGAGAATTCATGGTGCTTCACATGCGACTGATTTGACTTTAAAGAGAGTGATTTGATTCTAAACACATCCGCGTGGTGTTTTGCATGCAAATATACAGACAGAAAGTAAATTAGGAATTTAAATTCAGCATGTTTAGCCAGCCTTAGGTGGTTGGTGTCACTAATAGTATGTGGACAAAACATTTACGGTCGAGATAAGTTCACAAAAAACTAAAATGTTTAACAGACTGAGGGAATAGTTAGAATGCTTTCATTGTCAAGCTTACATTTCTAAACATCATGCACAGTTTGCTTGCAATAATATTGATAAGTTGTAATATATGTTTTCATTTCCACTCTAAATAATAAATTTTAATTTAACATGCAGTCACATAGTTGTTCTTCTAATCTCTCTATATACTCAATACAGCAGTTTCTTATAAGCTTATAAAACTGATCGATGATGTGAGATGTGGCTAGAATAATTTCATATCATCTCTGATCATGGAGGCCACATATAGGGATGGTGAACTATCCTCCCAGTTGTATTTATGAATGAATATCCAGAGCTGCGTGAGCTGATGGAGCGCGCGAGAGAGACTGATCGCAATATAAGAAGAGCTGTGGAAGAGAAAGCCATTCAGTAGCGCATGGTATGATATGCTCTTTTCCCAGCTCTTACCTTCTAAATACATGAAAAAAAATGCTCGATAAACCTCATGTGTTTTGTTTTAAACCACTTAAACAGGCACGATCCAAGACAAATGCTCGTTTCTTGGCGCCAAGGTTTTGCGCTTGCAGGTTTTACCTACCATTCACAGAAACTTGTGTTAGGAATTAGTAAAACTTTTAAATTAAGTTTTGAGAAACTCTGTTAAAGCACCTAAAACTGACACAAATGTAAAAAATATATATGATAATTATTAAATAAATAAATGTCTCACACATGCAGCTAACTGCCCGAATTACAACTTTATTCTGCAATCGAATTAAAGGGCCGGCATTTATTAATTATAGCCTTGCCTAATTTGCTTACATTTGTTTATTGTATTACGTGGCATTCCATGCTCTCACAAACTAAATCAAACACAATATCTGAATATTTCTTGTTTACTACGCCACAGTTATTTTAAAAGATATGCATATGACCGATTGACTGTTTATTCCTTAAAGGTACGTTAGACTCATTGTAAGGGATAAATCTTTAGGGAGGACGATTGCGGTAAAAAAAAAGGGATGACAGACCGAGGGCGGAGAGAGAAAGAGAGAGAGGAAGTCTTAAGAACACAAGCAGACCCTTGCCTCACCCCTAAACCAGCAAAATGACAACAGAGACAAAACACAGGGCTAATGAATACCAAAGCACTTAAAATATGACCTGCACTGTCTTTAATCCAGTCTTGTATACCATACCAAATATAGCAAATAGACCAAGATGTCGCATGTATCGCACGCACAACTCAACTGATATATTTTTTATAGCTACTCATTTAATCAAATTAATTTTCTGTGTATCTTTTGTAAAAAATTTTTGAAATAACATAATAAGCTGTCAAAGTTTTCAAAAGGTCGGAATCAAAACTCTTGATTGAGAAGTGATTAATTAAAATGAGATCTGAATATCAAATGAGATTAAATTCAGTAATATTGCATAAGTGCGTTTGTTAGACGCAATAAAGCTGACATTGTTGAGAGGATGCAAGTGTTTACGCTTAAAGTTCAAACAGTCGTTTTAAAACATGAGTTATATCTCTCGTCACTTCCTTTTTAGTTTTAATGCGTTGAACGTTTCAATCGTCTCACTCTCAGTTTTTGTATTCAGTTTGTTGTTAAATTAGAGCCGATTTCTTCTTAAAAACTTTCACATGAAGCTCTTACCACAGTCCTTACTTTCAGGCCTTTTTTCTTTATTGTTTACTCTTTCCTTCGATTTTGTCATCTTAATAGACGTTCCTGAAAGCAGCAGGTTTAGGACAGAACGGTGCGATAAATCATGCGCTGCTTTCTAAAACTCACACGGCTAATGGAAAGACTGTGAGCCAAAAATGGCTCATCACCTTAAAATACACCTGTCAGTGATGAGACGTGTCCGTGGGCAGCAGGGGAGGAGAAGACACAGCTTTAGAGCTTTTATTAAGACTAGGCGCTGAGGAGAGGTGCGGACTGAGAGGAAATGTTGCGGCTGATGTTTGTTTGGTTGAGCTGCTCCATTGTTAAGGTAACTTGGCCTGCAGCAGGCAATTAATAGCATGTCATATTTTTGTTTCTATGTGTTAAGATAGTGTACCTCCTTATATAATTACAAGCTAATCAGTTATCGTTTAAAATATGTTAATTAAATGGCGCGCGCTTGGAAAGAAAACTGAACTGATGATTCATAAATTGGAAAAAATTGTAAGCAAATGTTCAGACTTAATGACATAGGCCTAATGAAGGTACAGGTGCACTGCACACCACAAATGGCCTGTCGGCATTTTCACACAAAAAAGTAAATGTTCAGGAATCATTTAAAACATTTGCTTCGCTTCTGAATTTAGTCGTCTGGATCTGTGTTGAAAAAAAAATATTTTCCCCACACAGATATGTAAATGTTTTAGCACTTGTCTAATTGGAACGTTAAGACACAAATATGTATACAGATAATTGTTTTATAAATCTATGTATACAGTCAATTGTTTATGTACTTAAAATCTGGCCATGTATGGTTTCTCTGCCTCACCGTCTAACGGAGAAGCGCGCCTTCATGTTTGTTCAGTGCGGCTATTCCTCTTCATTCAAGAGAGATAAATAGGCTGCAGTTTTTTATGTGCATCACTTTTTTTTTTACTGAATCAGGAATAGAAACCCGAACGTCATGTTTAAAGTGTTTAACCAAGGTGCAGACTATTAGCAGTATTGGTAGATCCGACCTGTCAAAATAAATTACAAGCAACATTTATTTGTTTTTGTGCATTTAGGCCTACGTTTCAATAGTTTATTTACGGTTAGTCTGATAAAGTTACCATAGCAACAGGTCTCGTGCATTCTGTTATGATCATTTTCGGACGGTTCATCCAACAAAACAATAGTAGGTTAACACACACACAAAGACAGCCAGCCTTAACTGCTTTGTGCAGCAAAAAGTTACAGGTTTACTGCATTTTGTTAGCTTATTCATCTGTTCATCATATAAATCCGGAGGGAAGCAAGTTTGTGTTATAGGCTGCAGGATTAACTATAAACTAGAAAAATAGCTGACAGACTATTTTCTTTCCAAACCTCTGAACGATATGAAATATTTCACATACTGTATATAATGTTTTATGGCAAATGTTTTTTTTTTTTTTTAATTCATGTTAGTAGCCGTGGTTGGTTTATGGGGTTGACTTGAATTGCTGGACTTAAGCGCTAATTAAATGGGAGCTTGTAACTACAAACTACAGTATTCATCTTAGAGGTTTATTTTATACAATGAAATAAACAATGAGAGGAGGAACTGATGTTGGGATGACTGTATTTATTTAGCTTCTTGTTTCCCATCAGTGAAACCAGCCCCTGAGGGACCCCAACTATCTGTTTTATCTCATATACAGAGTATTCTCATGTAGCAGTGTTTAAACAATATTTTCTGGTAAATTTGTAATGTTTATTTTGTTTGCATGAAAGGAATTGTTCTACTCAGCTTAGACTTTAAACTTGGCATTGTTGGTTTAATGTTTATATGTAGTAATTTGTAGGAAACCTCTGACAAGTGATCTTTTAAAAATGATTTGATTTGTAAGTCACACTTCTAGTATACCACAGCAGTGTGTCCTGTCATGAATTTGCTGCATTTTTTTGTCCCTGCTGGTTTATGCCTGCTGTTCATCACACTTGCAAAACCTTCAGTCTGACTTTGTTTAAAACTCCACACACCACCTCTGGAATTCTTTATCAGGAAGACAGCAATATGAAAACATGTTTATACTGGCATTTTTCCTGTCTTTTTTTTTTTGTTAACGGCACTTCACTAAGTTTAAAACATGTGGCTTTGTATCTTGATAATGACAAAACCATTGCAGTCTCACTTGGTCAACTATAGCTCACTTTTATGGAGTCGTTCTGATGCTTGTTATATTAAAGAGAAAGCTGAATTATTTGCCCTCAGTACCCTATACCTAAACATCTACAAAGATGTCAAAGAGTAAATGAAGAAGCATTTTAATGGGTATAAATATGCTGTCAATGGGTCTTATATTTTATAAACACCGAGACAGACATGTCCTCTTTTATCAGAGTACTCAAAATAAATAAGCAAAATTCAGCCGATTTATGCTTGTAAAAGTGGTAGTTATTGTCTGCAATACATTTCTGGCTTCTGCTGAACTGCTTCATTTCTCTTCTGTTTCAGGTATTGGTCTGAACTCGATGCTGGATGCCATGGAAGTTCCAAGTCATGCTAGGCACCTCCTCTTGCAATTGAACACACAACGAACCAAAGGCTTCTTGTGTGATGTTATTATCGTGGTGCAGAATGCACTGTTCCGTGCTCATAAGAACATCCTGGCAGCCAGTAGCCTCTACCTTAAGTCTCTTGTTGTTCATGACAACCTTATCAATCTGGACCATGAGATGGTCAGTCCAGGTGTGTTTCGAGTCATTCTTGACTATATCTACACAGGACGTTTAAGTGAATGTGACCCCACCTCTCCAAATGAGCCAAATATAGGGGCAGTGTTGGCAGCTGCAAGTTACCTGCAACTTCTGGATCTGGTCACCCTATGCAAAAAGAAGCTGAAAAAGAATAGGAAGTACCATTTAAGTCATAACCCTACATTTTTATCGTACAAATTAAGCCTCAGTGGTGTGGGGGGAGGACCGTTTCCAATATCTACCCCTGTCATCCACCCTTGCCACACTGTAGTGACCACCCCACGACCTACAACATTAGAGGACCTGCCCTCCATCCCACTGCCCCCCCATGCGGGAGAAATTTATGCACCAGCTCCCATCAAGGGTCCACCACCTTACCCCCCAACAAAGGCATCCCTGTCACCACAGTCCAGTCTTTGCTTGCCTCCCAATGAAAGGAATTGTTCATCGGTTTATGGCCTTGACCTGTCTAAGAAAAGCCCAAATTCCCAGTCTCAGCTTTCTTCTGGCAATCCCCACTTGATCTCTTCACTCCACCCAGATGAGGAGCCTGAAGGCGAGCTTGACCAAAGTACCAGTCCCATGCTCAGTCCCAACGATGGTTCTAGAAAAATGGACACAGGCCATCATATGGGGTCTCTCACCCCACACCCCTTCCCACTACCCAACCATCCACTTGCACCCAATCTTCCCCATCTGCATCGTTCTCAGGGACAGGAACAGTACCCCTGCCCTCCAAGCCCAGAACCCATAGAGGACACCAGAGATCAGCGACGCGATGCTTCCAACATCTATCGGTGGGTGAAGAATGAGCCTTCCAACCCAGAGGATGAAGATGAGGACGATGAAGAGGATGACAGTGGGGGAATGGGTGAGCAGGATAAAGAGAGACATCACCAGCACATGAACCACCATAAAAGCAATGAGGAAAAACTGAACACAAATGAGCGGGGCTATGACAGAGGGACCTGCGATGATGGCGAGGATGAGAATGGAACTGGCAGCGAGGAAACCGGAAGCAGTGAGGGTCGTCCATCTCCTCCTGTACCAGGTGGAAGGTATCACATGCCATATGAGCCAGAGAGTTTCGGAGATAACTTGTATGTGTGCATCCCCTGTGACAAAGGCTTTCCCAGCTCAGAGCAACTCAATGCACATGTAGAAACCCATACAGAGGAAGAGTTAAACAATGGAAGTGAGATGGACAGCAGCAATAACAGCAACAGTAAACCTACTACTGTCCGTGCACCTACAAGCTTGAACAGCTCTAGTGGCCTCCACAGCCCTTACCACGATGGCAAGTTGGCACAAAACCTCCATTCCATTGGTCTCGGGGAGATCATTCGACCATATCGATGTTCTTCCTGCGACAAGTCTTATAAAGATCCTGCCACCCTGCGGCAACATGAGAAAACCCACTGGCTGACACGTCCATACCCCTGTAGCATCTGTGGGAAGAAGTTCACCCAACGTGGTACCATGACACGTCACATGCGCAGTCACTTGGGCCTTAAACCCTTCGCCTGTGATGCCTGTGGCATGCGCTTCACTCGGCAGTATCGTCTGACGGAACATATGCGCATCCACTCCGGAGAGAAGCCCTATGAGTGCCAGGTGTGTGGAGGCAAGTTTGCTCAGCAGCGCAACCTCATCAGTCACATGAAGATGCACAGCAGTGGAGCTGCTGGCGGAGGACTAACTCCTGACGGGAAGCTGAAGATAGACTTCTCTGAGGGGATTTATCCTCTGAGCAAGTACACAGCTGAGCATCTGGGTCTGAAGCAGGAGAAAACCTCAGACCTTCTTGCAGCTTCTCAACACCTCCTTGCTGATGCCAAGGCCATGGAGAGCCTCTACCCGCTGTCAAAACTGGCTGTAGATCAACTCGGCCTTGCCCACAAAATGGACATCCTGAACTCGTCACTTCCACCCACTTCCCAGCAGCTCTCAGCAGAGTCCCGCACCATTGATCGCTACTCTCCCAGCTAGAGGGGGGGAACCACTAACTTTAATTTCCAAAGAGACATCACTGTATACCAATCACAGTATTCAACTCTCACCTCATCGTCATGTGGACCTGCACCTCAATGGAGGCCAAAAAGACTTGGCCGTACAAATGCACACAAACTGTGTTTATTTCTGAACGTGCCTTTCTTTGCAGATTTTGCAGTATTTGCATTTCTTAAAATGACTTTCCTAAAAGGAGTAAAAATGCTTTATTTATAATCTGTTTTGACCGTTGGACACTCAGTTGGACACTCAACAATGCAGTATTTATATAAAAAATTACTTTTTTGTTCAATTACCGAGCCAAATAACCAATTGAAAACCAAAAAGAGATTGTTTTTATTTATTTTTCCTGTCATTTTTCTTTTTTTTTATATGTTGGAAAAGCCAAAGAAAAAATGTCAAATGTTACAAAAGAGAGTTGCAATCGTACCCTAAACCTGTGTACTAAGTATTATTGGTGTATATAGAATGAAAAGCACATATGAACAATATTCAGGGCTTCTGTCCAGATCGGAGATGGAAATCTGGACCAAAAGAAAAAGCCAAATCTTTGGGATTTTATAGTAATTGGAGGACTTTTTATAGACTATTTCTCGGAGTACTGGATCACCTGTATCTGATTTTCCAGCTTTGTGAATATGGCCCAGTTTTTTTCTGTACTAAAGGGAGCAACTAACTGAAGAGTGTTTGTTCCAGGATTTAGGTAAAGTGATCTTAACTTTTCTCTGCATTGATGTAGTTATCCCCTTCAGCGTGGAATAAGAGTTCACAGAGAGTGCCGTTTAAATTTTTTCTGGCGGTCAGGTGTATGGTCTCAAGCTATTTAGTGTCTTTGTTTCCTTTCCTCCAACGCCAAGTGCCTTTAGCCTATTGAAAAAGTAGCAAGTACTGCCCTGTGATCTCACAACTGGAATATCTCTGTGCATATTCCGATCATGATACAACAATTCATGTCCACGTGTTTCAGTCCATCTGGTGAGACAGACTAAGCATGGGTGGTGCCTTTGAAAGTGCAGTAATATTTACAGCAGAGTCCATATGCCTCGGTTGTATTGCAGCCGAGCCCTTTGAAAGATTCTCTGCATGACTAGATGTATAACAATCACAACAAAGGCACTTTGTGTATATAAACCAAACAGTAACATTTTGTAGGTCAGTGGTCTCAAACTTAATTGCTCGAGGGCCACAGCTCTGCATAGTTTAGCTCCAACCACCTCCACCTCACACCTGTTTAATAGTCTCTTGAACACCTTGATTAGCTGTATCAGCTGTGTTTGATTAGCGTTGGAGCAAAACTGTGCAGAGTTGCGGCCCTCCAGGAACCCAGTTTGATACCTATGTTGTAAGTGATTGATTCGGCAACACATTTAAGACCTTTCCTTATGTGAAGTGTTTGAAATGGTCTGCTCAGCTCTATTTTGGCACAGTTAAATTCAGGCTAACAAGACAGCTTTAATCCTGTGGTGCACACACGTAGAGCTGCTAATGTGACAACCATCAGAACATGAGGAGCATGACTCTCGATCTCTGATACTGTGGGTGCAGATAGCAGCAGCTGCTCCACTCAGGGTAAGCCCTGTGAAATTTCTGATTTTCGAAGACTATCCGCGCTTGTCTGTCTCACTGATGTTAGATTTTCTGCCAGTTGACCAGGCCCTGTGATCTGAACATACAGCCTAATCCCCAGGCTACCGCACTAATATACCATAAGCTACACTTCAAACAATCAATCCTTCATTTCTTTCAACACACATAAAACATAGTAGTCTGTTACGGTTGCTTCCTTGTTTTTTTTGTAGTCTTTCTTAAATAGTTTTACAGGGGATGTCAATGTTCTGATAATGAGAAACGACACCCACTGTTTTTAATTCCAAAGATCACTCCATGATGACATTTTCATCTTTTCCTCTGCCAAACCTTAAGTGAAAAAAATTGTTAACCACTAGTTAACAATTACAACCTCAGCTGGTGAATGTGAAAACTTAAACCACAAATGCACTGTGAAAGAACTAACTTTAGAACTTAGTGAATATTGAACATGTAATTTGGGACAAATTACCTGGGCTTTACTCTATTCTGTTTGTTTTTTGGTCATACCAAACTCTCTTAATCAAATCAAAATGACATTGGTGCTTACCTCAGGACTGAGCCTATCATAGTGTGGGTGACACAATGCTTTAGCAATAGTTTAATACGAAAACTCACATAACTGCTCTCTGTCTTATACAGTAAAACTCAAGCACACTTTCTGAAGGGATTCTTAATGTTTTTTTTTGTGAACCTGTGGTGATTTTTCAATGCTAAAATGTATTTTTGAAATGATTATTTGATTGTTTTTTTTCTGATTAGCCTATGCAACTGTCTGTTTTTACATTACAGAAAATACTGTAGTTACACAATGAAATGGTAAATAATTGAATTACCATAAAAGGCAAATTTGTAAATTAAAAATGATTTCTTGATAAGAATCAGTATGTTTTTCTGTGCACTTGAAGGTACTTAAGACTTATTCGGCGCAGTTTCAAACTCTAAAAGAAATGCCAGACAGCAAGTCCGATTGCTGTTAACGTTATGCTGTATAAGAAATGTTGTGTGTTTATCAATAATTCGCTCGCAATGATAAACACTTGGCCGAGTTGGTAAGGAGGGAAGCATAGTTTCTGAAGTTGATTGACCCATTTGTTCTGGGCGGGCCTGCAGAAACTTCAGCTGACCTTTTTGCCGAGAGGCAGGATTAGACTCCCAGTGAGGTTTTGTATACATGTACTATTAAACCACACGCATGAAAACCAGCTTGTTTGGGGCGAGACAGATGCTGAAATTTCCCAACACTCTTAAGTGGACAGCCGAGATCCAGAAATTCCTCTCGACTTAATTTTGCACAACACATGAAAACAGTCTGGGCACAGTGGTTTGTTTGTATCCAAACGAAACCCAGAGCGTAAACGGAATACAAATCTTCTGACTCCAGGCACAGAACAATATTGCAGCTATCATAACAGTTAAAAGTTTGACCGCAGACATATTAATACGCGCTGAGGAGATGTGACAGGCCGTTTGAAGTGGATTTCGGTGGTGGGAAAATAAATCTTACACTCCCCTTCTCCACCATTCATTAGCTCGCTCTCATCGAAAATCTATCGCTCTCTCTTTTCCTGCTCTCTGACTGACAAAACAAGAGGAGACGTTTTCCATTTGGCTTCTAAAAGCAAAAAAGAAAACGAAATATTAAGATTTCAGAGGTGTGTGAGTCCAGGTCATGGGATGGGTGATGTGTTTGCTAGTATTTTTGTATGCTCCAGCTATCTTAAACGTACGAAAAGTGCTTCTGTTAATGGAGCGGTTACAAAGGACTAAAGTGGAGCTGGGGAAATGAACTTTTGACTCTGTAGTAGCAGCGAGCAGGATGTTTAGTATGGTTCTGCTCAAAAGCAGATAGGCAGATGATGATAGAGAGAGACAGAGAACGCAATGCAGGGTGAGAGAGAACAGAGCAGGTTCGTCTGGTGGCCTGCAGCCATTGTCTATCTATGGAAAAGTAGACTGGAGACCTCCAGCCCTTATTTGTGGTCCTCAAAGAAATATTTTGGGTTCAGAACAAATTAAGCTCAATAATGCAATGATGCTGGTTACCACAATTATTATTATTAATTTGTCCTCCCTTTTCTTAAAACAATAATTTACTTTGCAAAAAGCAAAAATAGGATCAATCTGTAAATGTTAAGATGAATCACATTAATAGTGAAGCCACAAATAAAGTTTGAATATATACAACTAGTTTTGGAGGTTTAAGGTGTGACATTGTAACATGGTTGCACAATGGTTATTTAGACAGCTTACTAATTATTTTAACAGCTTTACAGGGTCAAACAATACATAAAAAGATTTATTAGGGGCATATAAATCCTTTATGAAGAACCAAAAAAAAAAAATTTTCATACAGCTACAGGGCTCGAAGTTAACCTTTTTTCTTGGTATAGCGACGGTGCTCCTAACTTTAAAAATTTAGGCACACAAGCCAAAATTTAGGCGCACACACCAAACATTATGGCAACGTCACTACAAGTTTTACAATAACAGATTTATTGCATTTGAAATCAACACTAATCAAAACAAACAAAAAAATCTGCATGCGCTCATACATGAAATGACATGTCTGTTAAACCATTCCTGAGCGATGCGTTTGAGTTGTTTGGTGCAAAGATGCAATCTACGTGAATTTCCTAAATACGTGAACATTTTGCAGTTTCCCCGAGCTATGAAAAAATTAAGAAACCATTTTAAAATTGTTATTTTTCATCTCGGTCATCTCAGAAAATTAAGGTTATTTAAATATTGATTTCTAAAGTTAAAACACTGGTTTTTATGTTGTCTAAAAATTAATGTAAACATGTCTAAAACTTAATACTTTTTAGTTATTTTATTAAAAAAATTCTCAAAAATAACAAGATTTATTTTACATTTTGAAACGTCATAAAATTGTTTTACTTTTTAAGTAAGATTTTATTTTCACTTTGTACACACTGAAATTCAACACTTTACAGACATTTCTTTTTTTTTTTAGAACAATATTCTTGCTGCATTTACAAATGATACATAATAAAAAGATATGGACATAAAGTTGAAGTCAGAATTATTAGCCCCCCTTTGATTTTTTTTCCTTTCTTAAATATTTCCTGAATTATGTTTAACAGAGAAAGTCTTATTTGTTTCATTTCAGCTAGAATAAAAGCAGTGTTTAATTTTTAAATTATAATTGTTGGGTAAAAATTATTAGCCCCTTTAAGCTATATTTTTTTCCGATTGTCTGCAGAACAAATCATCGTTATACAATGATTTGCCTAATTACTCTAATTTGCCTATTTAACCTAATTAACCCAGTTTACCCTTTAAATGTCACCAAGCTGTATAGAAGTGTCTTGAAAAATTATCTAATAAAATAATTACTGTCATCATGGCAAACATAAAAGAAATCTGGTATTAGAAATACCTATTAAAACTATAATGTTTAGAAATATGTTGAGAAAATCTTCTCTCAGTTAAACAGAAATTGGGGAAAACAATAAACGGGGCTAATAA